GTTTTGTTTTTGTTTGCTTTTATTTTCTTTGATGTTGTTTGGTGTTTGATTATGCTATAAGGAGGGTTTGATCGACTGGCTTCATTTCTGGTTGATTTTAGGGGGCCAGTGCTCAGCTCAACACTCCTGAGCTGTGTCCTTTAACTATGGGGGGGGCTGGTTTTGGGCTCCCTGCTTTCTTCTCTGGCTCCTCAGGGCTAGGAACCTACTGCCCTGAAGGGGCTGAAGTGTTCCTGGACCACTGATCACAACACTCTGATAGGCAGTGCCAGCCAAAGAGCTTCGTTGGGTGGAGGAAGTGATATCTGTGCTCACTTGCACATGCCAGAAACAGCAACAGTGTGATGAGGTGCATGATCATCAGCTAGAGTGGAGCACTGGTGGGCCAGGGGGTTCCAGCCTCCATGCAGGCATTTGCAGGTGGCAGTAGTAGTGGGTGGGGTGGGGCACTGGCAGGTGTGGGGGATGTTGGTCTCCATGTGTGCATTCACACTGGAGGCAATGGCAGCATAGGGCAGGGAGTGGAGCTGCTGGTCTTCATTTGTGTACTAGCACTAGCAGTGGTGGTATAGTGGGGTGAATGGGGGCAGGTTGCACTCGTGCTGGTAGCAGTGGTACAGTGGGTTGTAGATATGTGCCAGCAGGGAAGGGCACGCAAGGTTTGCTGGCACACACACACTGGCAAAATGATGAGATGGTGGCCTTGGATGAATGCACGCTGGCAAAGCAGCACAGAGGATGCTGCAGTGGTGGGAGGGTGCAGGTGGGCTGACGCGACTTGGCAGGGGCCTCTGTGCTGGAGCTCTTTGATTGTCAGGCACAGTCTGCAGGCACAGGAGCTATTATGCATGTCCCTGAGAGACCCCAGTTGGGCAACTATGGCTGCACTGGCTAGCCTGGGGCCCCAGGAGAGGCCAGCAGGCAGGAGTTACTCAGATCATACTGGCCCTGCTCTGTTCAGGTCTGACAATTCCCCTAAGGGTAAAGTTTCCTAAGGGAGCATGGGAAGCCTTGGAGGATGGACATTCCTGGTCACACTCCACTGCAGACATTGCTGCACCAAACCCTCTGTGCTCCACACTGGCTGGAGTCCTGCCCCTACTACCTCTCTAAGCAACTATCCCTTCCAGCTTAGGTTTCTGTGGGAGACGTGTGGTCTCCTGATGCCAGGATTCTATAAGTCCATGGTGAAAGTCGGTCATTCCTTGCCTGCTCAACTCACTGCTACCCCAGGAGTCACTGAGGGCCAAGAGCTAGTCCTGGTGTATGGTAGCCCCATATAGCGTTTCCAGCTTCCTCCCGCTTAAGCCCAGTATCTGTGTCCTCCCTCTATCCATTTGCAATGCCTTTTTTTTGTTGTTGTTTTTTTGAAGATCTGCTTAGAGTGTGCCAGTCTTCCTGATGTCCTGGTCCCTTAGTGGCAGATAATCCTCCTGGCTGTGTCTACTCAGCTATCTTGCCTGGAGAATCCTGTTTGTTTTGATCTTTGGCTTTTGTATTAGAAAGATTGCTTTATTTTCTGATTACTTTTGCCTTTCCATTTACTATTAAAAGTGAGAAACATAAAAGCTACCTGGAAGTGCTAAGCTCATGCATAAAGCTTATTGACTTCAAGCTTCCATGTGGGGGAACTGGGTGAACTGTTCCTTGGGAATGATGAGTCAGTGCTGTCTATAGACCTATGGGAGAGGTGCTTCAGCTTTAGATGTCCTGGATATGTTCCGTTTCTGGCTTTGCCCTGCTTCATGGCATGATGTGTCTAAAGTGCTAAGGAAAAGCTCCTCACAATTAATAGCTAAGTATTTCTCAATCAAAGGCAGTTACTCTTACTTTGCTCCTTGAAGAACAAGCAAAGTTGCTGATTTCATACCTATGGTAGAGATTAATGACATGTCTTTGAAAACTTCTTTTTACCTATTCCTCTTCATTCCATCTCTTGAATATACAGTCTCTAATTGTAGTTTAAAATGTCTGCTACCAAGTACACTTAATTTATACTTGGATAAGACTAACTCCAAGGACTGATAATAGAAAGAAATCAGAGGTGTTCATGGACTACAATGCAGCCATAAAAAACGATGAGTTCATATCCTTTGTAAGGACATGGATGAATCTGAAAACCATCATTCTCAGCAAACTGACACAAGCACAGAAAATCAAACACCGCATGTTCTCACTCATAGGCGGGTGTTGAACAATAAGAACACATGGACACAGGGAGGGGAGCATCACACACTGAGGTCTGGGGGGTGCTGGGGAGAGACAGCGGTGGGTGGGAAGGTTGGGGAGGCATAACATGGGGAAAAGTGCCAGATATAGGTGATGAGGGGATAGGGGCAGCAAACCACCTTGCCATGTATGTACCTGTGCAACAATCCTGCATGATCTGCACATGTACCTCAGAACCTAAAGTACAATAAAACGATTTAAAAATAGAACTATGGCCGGGCACGGTGGCTCAAGCCTGTAATCCCAGCACTTTGGGAGGCCGAGGCGGGTGGATCACGAGGTCAAGAGATCGAGGCCATCCTGGTCAACATGGTGAAACCCCGTCTCTACTAAAAATACAAAAATTCACCTGGGCATGGTGGTGTGTGCCTGTAATCCCAGCTACTCAGGAGGCTGAGGCAGGAGAATTGCCTGAACCCAGGAGGCGGAGGTTGCGGTGAGCCGAGGTCGCGCCATTGCACTCCAGCCTGGGTAACAAGAGCGAAACTCCGTCTCCAAAAAAAAAAAATAAATAAAAAATAAAAATAGAACTATGATATAAAAAAAAATCAGAGGTGTTGAGATTCCTGCATATCTATAAAATATATATCCTAAAATAAATGGATAAACATTGATTAAAATTGATTTTTCCATTTTTGCACATATGAAATTAAGAGGAAATATCATTAAGCAAGATTCCAGTGTGGATGCTCATGTTAATTATAGCTATATTCCATTTACAGATTTATTATCTAGTCAAAATTCTAACTTTTCCTCATCATTCCTCAAATATTAGAAATTCTTATTCTGCTCTTATCTTTGTGGGTCAATTTATTTCAGTCTTTATAGTATGTCTAGCTGAAGATGAATTACTCTAATCACTATTTTTAGGGGATCTCCTTATTGAATTTTCCTCCCATTTCCTGCAAAGATGTATGATTGCCATGCTGAAAACTTTCATCTTTTAAAGGAAAGGGAAAATATTCTCTTAGAATGATTATTACTCTCCCTCATAGGGTTCCTTGTCCTCTGCTGACTGTCTCTTGCTTACCTTGCTTCTTGTCTACCCTGGAAAGGTGACTTGCACCTGAAAAACTGATTTTCTCTTTTGCATCCAAACAGTTGTTAAGCCCATCTTCCTCCCTCTTTTTATGGCCATTAGTCGAATATGTACCATTTCTCTACCAGGCATTGGGGAAATGAAGGTAAACAATCCATTCTCACTGACAGGCTTCCATAGTTCCACAAAATAATGGATGCCTTAAAGATTTCTGTATGCAGGACTTTAGAAACATAAAAGAATGGGGTGGTGACATTGATTAGGTCTCCCTAGCAGAAAGCCATCTAGGAGGTAACAATGAGATACAACCTCTTTCTTTTTCTCTATACCACCTTTGCTCCTCTAGCTAAAACATCAAGAGAGGAGTCATGTCCTTCGGAGAGCCTAAAATCTACCTCCCAGACAAGAATTAGCTCCTCTTTCCTATAGTTTTCAAAGGACTAAGTTTACACATTTAATATGGCCCATGTTATACTTATTATTTTTTTGTTTATATATATGCCTTCTCTACTACTTGGAGATTCTTCAAAAAATTTTGTGCATTTAAAATGTATCTTATTCTGTGTATTATGCTTTTTTAAGGTCCTATTACTTTGTATTTCCGGACACATTTATTGATAACTTTAAATATACACTCAATGGGTGAATGATTGTATAAAATTCTTAGAGAACAGCACTGTCATATTATTTGCTTGCTAGTTTCCAGTTGGTTAATTCAAAGTTTTGAAAGCTTTATGTTAAATTATGGATTTAATAGTGTAACTATATTTTTAAAATTAAAAATTCATAGATACTTTTTTTTAAGTTTTGGGAAGAAGACTATTTTTCAGTATTTCAGGACTCTTGTGATTACATCTGAAATAGGTTCTATACACTAAAGCCACTATCTGTGTTTGACACCTTATAAAATACCCTACTTAGGATTTGTACAAAATACAATATTTATAAAAATATACATATAAATATTTGTAAAATATTTATTGAAAAGGGCAAAATTTTATAGCATGATTACCACAGGTGATTACCACAATTTTATAGTTATGTACCTTATAAAATATCTTACTTAAGTCTTATTATTTCCTGAGGTCTGCTATTACCATACTTAACACTGGCCATCTTTAAAATTAGTTGGATTTTTAAGCTTTGCCTTTTCTAGAAGCTGTTTTTTTTTTATTATTATTAATTTCTTTCTAAAATTTTATGCCTTTAGTTATAGTGTTGGCCACCAGGTAGCAACAGTGCTTTGAGTAGCTCATCTCATAAATAGGAAACTATCATAGACTGACAAAAAAATGAAGTTCTCTGCATTCAGGAAGGAAGGGAATAAGTGTCCAGAATCCTCAATTTTTAATTCCTCCCTGTCACTGTGTCCTCATGTTGTCTATTGCAAATGCAAGCATAAATTATCAACTGGCCATGAGCAGCCTCCCTGTTCTGCCAATCCATTGTTACTGTGACAGTTCAGTTCATCTCAGGGCCACTGAAATACAGTGAGATGAGGGGCAGATGGCAAGGGGCAGCATGGATCATGCTAGGAAAATGTATGACAACTGAAAGCAAGAAGAGTGAAATCATTAAAAAAGTATAGGGAGAAAGTACATCCTTTTTATGAACATATCTAGAAAACCCATAATATTTATGAGATTGCTTTTTAACCATGAGAAGCACATTTATGCTGATATAGAAAAATCAAATATGTTACTTTAGATTTTTCTTCTTCCTTCACCCTTAGCGATACCTCTGGGTATTCTAGTTGTGCGTGGTGACTGTGATTTGGAGACGTGCCGAATGTACATAGACCGCCTACAGGAGGTGAGTTTATTTAGTTAATTTCTTACTCTCCTCAACTTTCCATTTTTTTAAACAATTACCAGCCATATGTATTTGCTTCTGAAATGATGCGTTTGGAGAGGAAATTGAAATGTAGTGGCTTTGTCCTATAAGCACACACGGTATGTCACCCTCTCCCACCGTCTCTGCTGTTTCACTCCTCAGATGGTTGAAATGGGAAAGCATTGATTGGGTTAGCTACAGGGTGCTGTTGCCCTGTTATGTTCCATAACTATAACTTGGAACTTGTCGTCTTGCCAGACTACGTACCTGTATTTTTTGAACCATTCAGAATTTGAGCAAACACTGATAAATAATGAAAGAAAACAGTGATATTTAATGTTTTGTGTCTGACACTTAAGTCAGAGACAGCTAGACTTTGTAAACAAAAAAAGTAAAACTTCTGTGGGAAAGAAAAATCCTCTGCATTTCATAGAAATTTGTCAGAACACAGAATAATCTATATATAATTTTTCTCAATCTGGTCCTGCTGTAGAGAAACAAAAAGGCAGTGACCCCAAATATGGCACTCCTATGAATTTGAACTGCACCAGCAAGGCCAGGGGACCAAAACTCATCATTACAATTGTTGTTGGTCGTTTTTGCAAAATTTTGAGGGGGAATAGTAGCTGTTCCCACTCCACAAATTGCAAAAAGCACAAATAACGATTTCTTTATCATTGTTTCTTGATGAAAGATGTATATTAGAGTCACTTTTCTTGGGTGGGACCTAGACATTTTAAAAAAATTTTTATTTATTTATTTATTTATTTCTGAGACAGAGTTTTGCACTGTCGCCTGGGCTGGAGTGCAGTGGCGTGATCTTGGCTTACTGCAACCTCTGCCTCCCAGGTTCAAGCGATTCTCCTGCCCCAGCGTCCCAAGTAGCTGGGATTACAGACCACCACCACTATACCTGGCTATTTTTTTTGTCTTTTTAATAGAGAGATGGTTTCACTATATTGGCCAGGTTGGTCTCAAATGCCTGACCTTGTGGTCTACCCACCTCGGCCTCCCAAAGTGCTGGGATTACAGGCATGATGAGCCACTGGTGATCTGATACCCCTTGATGAAAGCAACTCTGTCCCAGACATGTTATATATAAGTAAATACTATAAATAAAGTAGATACATAGTGTTTCAAATTCCTCCAAGTTGTAACCACTTAGCCCTTAATATTTGTTTCTGTTTCTCTTGGTAGAAATAAATTTAGGTGGGAGGCACACAGTTGATATGAAAAATTGCTGATTTTGAGGAACAGATGACAAATTTTGAATACTGATATGAATGAGTAAAAGAGAGTCAACAAATTTTGTACTTATGGCTTTATTAAGCTATTTTGACTGAGGATAGCTGCTTAAACAAGTTAAAATGTATGAATTTTTAGCATGTGACTCAGGTCCAATTCTATTAATATATTCCCAAACTTCTAGTATCTCATTTCTCAGAATAATGTTTGTATTTGACTGTGGAATCTCACTCTGGAAACTGTAATGAAACAAGTGAATCATAATTGGTACCAAAACTTTATACTTTTTTAAAAAAATTTAATACTTGCAGAGCTTTGTTAACAATACTTCACAGTAGAATAATATTAATACATGATTGCTGAATTGACTTTGTTGAAAACCAACTTAACTAACTTAATAGTATGTTTATTGCACCAATATTCAACGAAAAGTAGGATTCTGAAAAAAGTGGCAACTCAACAAATAAAGAGGAAATGTTTTAAAACTAATAAAGAAGAAGTTGATGAAACCCTGTGGGAATCAGGTGTAAGGACAAAGGTACCAGGATTGCTGACATCTGTAAATAGAATCACTACACTCATTAGCAAGGGAGCCTGGGAGACATGACAGTGGTGACAACTTCGTTATAAAACTTTATAAAAGGAGTCAGGCTTTCACAATCCTCCAGTAAAACCTCATTAATTTCAACCCTGTTAATTTGCACTTCGTGATAATGTGGAAGTGGTTGGTGATTTTTTCTTTGTAGCCTATGAAAACCCCTGTTTGCTATGTAACTTATCGATGTAAACAGTTACCATGACAGTATGTATCTGGTCTAAGATAAAGAAACGGTTTCTAAATGTTTAAAGGGATTTCAGAAGCCTTCTTCGCTGAAAGTTCATATGTAAATAAAATATAATCCCCATTTATTAGAACAAAATTGACTATCCTTTCCTTTTGGTCTCCTCCATAGGAGATTGAAATAATAAATTATCACTTACCTCTAAACACTACTTAAGATTTATAGGTTTCAATAGCTTAATGACCTTCTCTCCATCCAGCTGGGTTTGCTTTCATTATTTCTGGCATTGCCTTCTTTATTTAACCTTTATGAATTCGGTTGTGTTAGATACTTTCCAGATGAGAATAATAATATGAAGTTGCGAGTTAAGTTGAGATAAAGTTGTGGGGCAACTTGTTCAAACTAATTTTAAGGTATGGGTTTTTTTTTGTTTTTTTTTTTTTTTTTTTTCCCATTTTCTCATTAGGACCTACAGTCAGTTTCTTCTGGCTCCCAGAGAGTTCATTACCAGGTAAGAAATAATTGACTTTCCTTGTTTCTTACCTTCTGGCCAAATGAAGTCTATTTTTCAATTAATGTCTTATTTTGATTTAGAGTTCCCATCTTCCCTAGGGAGAGGAGTGCATTCTAAGAACCTAGTGGAAATGGTATTCTGATTGGTTTACGTTTTCCTGATTTTAGACCAGGCTTATCTAACACAAATTTAGACTGTGGATTTTCTCCTAGATCATTTAGAAAAGATTATAAAATTGAGTGCTTTCAGTAACAAATACCAGAAAACTCAGCAGCAGCTAGCTTAGCAGGGAAAGGGTCTCTTGGTTCACGAAAACAAAAAGTCCAGATCAAGGTGGATTTCTCATCCCATTTGGTCACAGCTCACACTCCACTTTCCTGCTGGTCTTTCTGCTTTGTTCTCCTCTTCCATTTTACCTCTGGGCTAGATGATTTTGTGGTCCAGGATGGCTGCCACTAGCAACCAGGGCTGTATTTGTTTTTCTCTTCACCTCCAGAAAAGGGATTCCCTGCTTCCCATAACCATCAAGCAGAAGTTTAAAAATACAATCGGAGTGGTTCATCCTGGTCTTTTGGGTGATCCAAAGCCCAGTCTGCCTTTCTCTATGGCTCATGTAAAGTCCATGGGAGAATACTCAGTTATTCTTTGTCGCAGCAGACTTTGGGGGTGTTGCTTCTTTCTAGCTTCCTCATCCCACTTGTGATGCACAGACCTCTTCAGCCATCCTCTTACCCAATAAATGGTTCAGACATGATGTAGATCCTAGTACACAGTATTACTTCAAACTACAAGGAGCCTAAACAAAGCTCTCTGACTGGTCTCATTAAAGCCCTTTTATCTGAGAGCCTCCTTACCCTGCCTTGTTAAGAGGAAAGGTATGTGGGAATCATAGCATGCCAACAACTCTCTCCAAGTAAGTCCCTTCAAACCCTTTATACTTCCATGTGGGGAGAAATTTAACTATGTCTAAATTTATAAATGTGTAAATCCTGGTTTAGCACTTTACTTTGGATTTTGGTGTCTATCTTCCTATGCCTAAAATATCCAATTTAACATCCTTTAGCCTAAATAGAAAATAATTTAAAGAGCAACCTATACCTTGTAGCCTTCTAGGTAGCTTTCTTCTCCCCACCAATGATACCATCGACCCTTGGCTGAAGCAGCTTTTTTATCTTCAGCCTTAATGACAGGAATGGCCTTTGTGTTCTTATTTGTTTGTGTGTTTATTTCTCAAACAATACATCCCATGCTTCCAGAGTTCTTTCTTCCATCTGCCTGGCCTTGAAAGGAAGAGAAGTCACTTGGGATATGTTTACATTAACAACAAAACAAAACAAAATGAACTTCTTCTAGACTGTTTTTGCCAACCATTAGAAGACAAATTTCCACCTTATTTTTTAGATAGAGCACAACTCAACTTTCATCAGCGTGACTATTTCCATATTTACCCAGAGCCACTATCTAGGTATAAATTTTATTTTTAAAAGCATAGTGCTTTCACAATAGCAAAGACATGGAATCAACCCAAATGCCCATCAACGATAGACAGACAGGATAAAGAAAATGTGGTACCTATATACCATGGAATACTATGCAGCCATTAAAAAGGAATGAGATCATGTCCTTTGCACTAACATAGATGGAGCTGGAAGCCATTATCCTCAGCAAACTAATGCAGGAACCGACAACCAAACACCATGTGTTCTCACTTATAAGTAGTAGCTAAACAATGAGAACACATGGACACAGAGAGGGGAACAACACACACTGGTGCCTGTCAGTGGGTGGGGTGGGAGGGCAGTGGAAGGAGGGAGAGCATTAGGAAAAATAGCTAATACATGGTGGGCTTAATATCTAGGTGATGGGTGATAGGTGGAACAGACCACCATGGCATGCACATTTGTAACAAACCTCCACATCCTCTGCATGTACCCCAGAACTTAAAATAAAAATAGGGGAGCACTACACACTGGTATCAGTTGGGGGGAAATAGGGAAGGGACAGTGGGGGGTGGGGAGCTGGGAAGAGGGAGAGAGCAAGGGGAGAGATGCCAGATGCAGGTGATGGGGAGGAAGGCAGCAAATCACACTGCCACGTGTGTACCTATGCAACAATCTTGCGTGTTCTTCACATGTACCCCAAAACCTAAAATGCAATAAAATAAATGGGGAAGAAAAAATAAATAAATAAATAAAAATTTTTAAAAAGCATAGGGCTTTTAAAGGTAAGAGGTGATCTCTAACAATTGGCATTATTAGTTATAAGACTGAGTATATATGTTTTTTTAAGGGTTTATATTTTTTATTCCGGGACATTTTTAACCTTTACAATTGTATCAAAATATGTTAGATTTATCCTAGCTAGGTTAATGAAATCACATTTACTTATTATTCCTGGCTTAGGCAATGTAGTCATTTTGGTGTGAGAGTTTGAATTGTGGGCATTTTGTACCATATTTTTAATGCAATATCTGTAAATATCCCTGGAGACCAATGGATGGATAAGAGAGTACAATATGATTGAGTTATTTATTTCATGTATTGTTTGGTAATAAAACACCCAGAAGGATTAATGATATTTTTCTGATGATGTCAAAATATGGCTGCACTTTTTTTCTGTTTACTTACAGTCAAGTCAAATCTTGGTGTCAAAACTGCTGCATTATAAATGTCACATCAAAAGGTTTTGTGCACTGAACATCCATCATGGATGAGTGTCAGGCGTGTCACCTTTTCCCATATCCTTCCTTAGGACAATGAAGGAGGGAGCTGAGTGATAAAAAGCAGTCGCCTTTGAGCATTAAGGAATGGTTGAAACAAAAATGATGCAAGAAGCCCAGAATTTGCTCATTAAGCAGGAAAGAGAAAGATACTGTGTTAGAATTAACATGGCCAGAGCACAGGGAGAAGTCAATGAGGAATTTCCTGAGCAGGGCAAGGAGAGCTGATTGAAGGAAGAAGCTGGGAGAGATAAACTTTCATGTTTGACTAAGCTCATCAAAGGAGGAATGAGTTGGAGGCACAGGAAATAGAGTTCTGTGTTAGCCATATTAATTTTGATCTGCCTATTAGATCCAAGAGGGTTGGTGAGTAGGCAGTTGGGTAGATGAATATTAAACCTCGTTAAAAAATTCAGTCCTAGAGATAGAAATTTTGGAGTTGTCAGCAAATAGATGGATGGTGCTTAAAACTACAAGGCTGGTAGAGATCTCTTAGGGAGGAGTTCAGTTAAAGAGGAGGGCCCAATGTTGTATCTGTGTTTATTCATGAGTCAAGAAGAGCACAGGTGCAAGAGAGCAATTGGTCAAGAAGAATCATGGAAACTGAGATGAACAGCAGGGAGGCTGGAAATCAAGTAGAAGGTGGTATTACTTAAGCCAGGAGTGAAATGTGTTTCAGAGAGGAAGGAGTAATGGAATGTGTCAAATGCCAGTGAGAGGCTGAAAAGGCATAGATTGATTTCTGTATTTTTTCTAGGGGTGTATACTATAAAAGACATGTGATATAGGTGCTGTTAATTTTTATGTAGAAAGTGACTGGCAGGAAATTTAATACTAAATCTTTCACTTCTTAGTGCAGAAACTGATTACATCAGAATTCTCTAGTTTGTCCCAGGGAGAGTAGGGAGTTTTATAGGTGAAAAAGTTCTAAGAAACATGAACAACTAGATGTCTTAAATGCCTTTTAATGAAATTTCTTGTCTATGAGATGGCATTAAATATACTTGGAGAGTTAACTGTGAAGAGAATAAATAAATACAAGTATGTTTAAAAACTTGAGAAATTCCTGTCAGCTCACTAATTTGCAGCGAGGATTTTAGCTGACTGTTTTCTAAGACCAGAAAAAACTCAAGAGAAAAGCAGCGTTTAGAAAGGTGTACATGTGCCCAAGATGCCTTATTAGTGAGCCATATGGCAGTTTCTCGCCACTTAAGCATTTCATTGGTTTGGTTTCTTCCTTTTCCAAATTCATAGTGAATTGCCAACAAAGCACTGAAGCTCAAAAATGACACCTCATATTAACCTAACAAGGCATTATGGGTTATACAAGAATGTGTTAGATATTTATAGTTTGTTGAAAATTCCTGCCTACACCATCTCCGACGTTAAAATACAAAGGCACCTCCATCCTAATAGCATCGATGTAACCATAACTAACACATTTTACAAGTAAAATGCATTGCACATGCAGATTCAGGATATTCTTGAGATTGGCAAATGAACAAGAATTCACATAAGAATTGGACCCTACTTGCTAATTTGATAAAGATGCTTTATGAGGCCACCTACTTTGAGATGATTCCATCTCTGCTTTCTCCCTTGAAATCATGATATCCTTTCTTAACCCCAAATCACAAAGGTACTAAGGAATAGAGGCAGATGCGCCCATTCTAGTGATTTTTGGAAGATTTTGCTCCCTGTGGGGGACATTTGGCAATGTCTGAAGACTTTGAAGTATATTGGATAAAGGCCAAGGAGGCTGCTAAATGTCTTGTCATGCACAGAGAAGCCTCCTACCGCAAAGAATTATCCAGCTCCAAATGTCAATAGTGTAGAACTTGTGGAACCCCGAGTCACTCTGATGGTTCTCAGTATATAAATGAGAACCCCAGATAGATATAAAACCTAGATGAGGAAAGGGAAAGGGGAAAGAAAGAAGAGGAGCGAAAGAGAAAGTAAGGATGAAAAATAGAAGGAGGTATTTATAGATGTGGTAGGGTAGAATAAAGAGAGAAACAGGAGCAAATAGAGGATTTTTTGTAGACACCCTGGGTTGGTTTTCTTGTTTCCACAGGGTATTGCTCTATGGGGCACTAAATGGTAGGAATTATAACTTGAGATGTTAGTGAATACCGTAGGATTCACCTGTAGGTGTAAAAATGGATTCAGTCAAGTGACGTCTTTCTCTAAGAATTAATTTACTTAAAAATGGTACCAGAGATAACATTATTGAAAAGCCTTTTGATTCTTCAGGGTGGTACAAACATCTTTCACCTTC